GTGGGTTCAAAGGACCAAATATTCCGGTTCCGAAGGTCCAAATAATGTGGGAACCGACCTGTGAGATTTATATTTATTTAATTTATATGAATTTATATTTACGTTAATTTATATACTTCGATAGCAATTTGTATAATGATAAGTGGACTGTATTTCTGCAATAATCTCATAATCTCACAAATCGATCCTCTACACATTAGGGGGGGTTTATTAGTTTATATATATGCAGCCAATCAAACTACAGAATTAACTACATACATTGAAAAGGTTCCTTATCTTATAGTACAGCAGGTTAGTCCACCAGGTATAACTAGGGTGTAGACACCAAATTATCCTCTTTGAGGTAGCTTCCATCACCCAGTAACTGGTGCACAAAATCTTGGTTCCTCGTCTTGACCTGTCAAAAGGGCGCTAGCTGTGAAGCCAGAAACCTATATATGACAAGCTATATCAGAGAAAACACTGTACATGGAACAATGAAGACCTGGCTTAATTACCTTTAGTATGAGGCGATTTCGCGTTCTAACCGGCTAACCCTACCCAATGACATTAATGGCCACTAATGATAGATAATGGGTTTCGGAAAGAACACTTAACTTGAATTTGTAGACAGCGTGTTGATAATGGTACACTTTTAGTTTCCATAACACTACGTCCAAGTAAATTTAACAGGAGCCGAATTTGCTCCCGTGTGAGCCTCTGGTCTAGTCTCAACAATGGCTGCATCTAACACTCCATACTATTGACGCCTGGCCGACATTGTCCAGATATGATAGGAGCCGAATTTGCTCCACGCGTCTCGGATGTGACACAACAATGGCTCCCTCCTTCCTCACTCTCACGCCTGGCTTACATTGTCCACATGTCAGAAAGTGATAGAAGGGTCACATTTACTCTACTTTAATATTGATAATTAAGTTAATTTATATAAGATGTTTTTATGATGGTAAAGTCCAAAGACTAATGTATTTAAGAATAATTCCCACCATAATAGGTGGTGAATTATAATAGTATGTGGTGATGATATCCCGTTTTCTTTAGACGGTAATTCCACTACAAGTTACGTTTTCTATGGGTAACTTGTTTATACAATACAGCTATTATCTGTATGATTATTAAATGGTGTCGGATTTTCCGACATGTAAAAGGGTTACAGAGGCCCGTAATGGGTCCGGGAACCGAACCCCGCCGGTCATTTGGCTAAGTAATAATCTTGTGAAGCTATGTAGACAATTTTTAATTCACATATAAACATACATGTGAACACACATATGCATGTGTATACGTATAAAGTTAAATGTGTGTGCGTGTGTGTGTGTGTGTGTGTGTGTGTGTGTGTGTGTGTGTGTGTGTGTGTGTGTGTGTGTGTGTGTGTGTGTGTGTGTGTGTGTGTGTGTGTGTGTGTGCGTGCGTGCACGTGGGCGCGCGCCTGGATGTCATACGCGTCAAGAACGGTGTTGACAAACTTTCACCAACTCTCCACCATGTGTTTGCTTCTGTTTAGTGTTTGTGTTCTCCGATACATTTACTCATATACTGTATATGTATATTTATGGTAAGCTTTAGCTCCTGGGCCTCACTTCTTGCTTCGTACTAAAACTATGTATTGAGTTAGCATCACCTACCTTACCTCTCAGGTCCCTCTCCCTTGCTCACTTCTCCTAGAGCAAGGTGGCGCTCTTTTACCCTCTAATCTCCCCTTACCACTCTCTTACACCTCTACAGAGTTGTAAGGTGCCCTTACGCCTCTATGGCGCACCTCAGCTCCTAGCTGTCAGCCGTGTCCTAGCGGCCCGACCCGCTTCATGCTAAACATTATGTTTTACTTCACTCTGTCAGCGCCTCAAGTAAGCACATATTGGGTGATAATGCTCCCTCTTATACCCTTCTCTTCTGCCAGTCAGGTCTTGTCCCTTCAACCTTTCCTCGCTACTCAGTCCTCTCAGTGACGGGACCAGTCATGTAGCAAACCCTTCAACTTTCTAGGTGGAAATTGGACAGTGAGTTGGTGTGGGTGGATGGTATGGTGCCGGCCTGTGACAGGCAGTCTGCCTCCTGAGAGCGTTCTCCTGCAGGTCACTGTGCCGCTACACGTGTGTGCCTCTACACATGAGGGCCTCTACACGTGTGGGCCTCCACACATGTGTGCCACCCTCGCATACTTACCTGCTGTCATCCCATAAATGTGTGCTTCGGGTGATAGAACTTGATTTATGTTCACTTCCAAATAGTTTTCTTTTCCTGACTCAAGTAGTTGTCTCTCCATCATGGTGAGGAGTCTCCGAGACCTGCTCAACCCCGCCCCAAACATCACACCATTGTAGTTAAGTCCAACAAACACTGGTGTACATAGAACATTAAGAGGACACAAAAGGTCTTCATCAGACCTCAACGGAGATTATTACATTAACAATTTCATCTATCCTTCACACCTTATAATTATAATGTCAGCAAGTTACAGAAAATGTTCCATTTCAAGATCTATATATTTACTAGTTAATCATTATACATTAATGGTAGGTCTTATCGTTAATACGTAATTGAGCAATGGAGATATTCCAGGGTCATAGGGGAGCTGCTGTTTATTATTATTAGTCCTCACAATACACTACTTGTTTCTTAACCTCATATGTCGTTTATCTACTGGGAGAGAAATATGGATACAGTGCAAAGGATTTTAGGTATTTTATCCTTAGTAATAAGATGATTTGCCATTTCATTTTATTCATGCGTGAGTTTAGACTTATCTATTCTGCACTCGTTCTCTGTTCTGTTTCGCCTTACCAGTTTATGGTGGTACAACATTCACAGGGTTCGACTTCCTCATTTGTCTGAGTATTTACTATTTGTATTTACTATTTATGTCTGCAGACTCGAGCTATTAGATCTGCTACACATATTTCTCTCTTGACAACATGAACACACATCCCCAGGAAGCAGCCCGTAGCAGCTGTCTAACTCCCAGGTACCTATTTACTGCTAGGTGAACAGAGAATCAGGTTGACAGAAACTCTGCCCATTTGTGTGTGTGTGTACTCACCTATTTGTGCTTGCGGGGGTTGAGCTTTGGCTCTTTGGTCCCGCCTCTCAACTGTCAATCAACTGGTGTACAGGTTCCTGAGCCTACTGGGCTCTATCATATCAACACTTGGAACTGTGTATGGAGTCAGCCTCCACCACATCACTGCCTAATGCATTCCATCTGTTAACTACTCTGACACTGAAAAAGTTCCTTCTAATGTCCCTGTGTGTGTGTGTGTGTGTGTGTGTGTGTGTGTGTGTGTGTGTGTGTGTGTGTGTGTGTGTGTGTGTGTGTGTGTGTGTGTGTGTGTGTGTGCAGTATGTGGTTTGGCTGAGATAAGCGTCAGATTGGCCGTGACATGTGGACAGCGAGGCGACTGAGTGAGGTGTGAGGGGTGCCCACTCACCGCACTCCCAGCAGCAGCAGCAGCAGCAGCAGCAGCAGCAGCGGCGTGCTCCCAGGGGGGGGAGCGCACCGTGAATCCTGGAGAGCGTGGGTGGGAGGGACGTACGGGTCTGTCCGGAGACGATATATATCCAGGTATACCGGGAGAGTATATGGCGGGTCTGCGAGGCTGACACAAACGCTCAACACTACCGCCGGGCCGACACTGTCTCGCCGGCCGCTGCCACACCGGTACACCAGTAACGAGAGGTGACGACCACACGGCCAGGGTCCCTCACACACTCTCTCCGTGCCCGGTACTGGCATGGCTCCCTCCTGACCTTTCCCTCGGCCTTCACTACCCACCAGGTCACAGCCTGCCACCGCCGGCTGCACCAGGGAAAGAGGCACAGAGAAAGGGAGGCAGGGAAAGCCTGCCGAACTTGGGAGATACGAATATAGACAAAAGGACGAGTGTGGAGAGCCGATCCGGTCTCTGTGGCTCTGTGGTCGCCCTAACACACACACACACACACACACACACACACCCACACACACACACACACACACACACACACACACACACACACACACACACACACACACACACACCGTAGCGAGGGGGCCGTCACGGGGAGGGTTTAGGTTAGCAGCACTCAGCATTTCCTGTAAGGTGTGACTCACCGGGAAACAACAATAGCATCAGATGTCAACAATCAGAAGAGAGCGACACACCACACGCGGACCCGCCCCATACCTCCACGCCTACACCGCTAACTTGGCCCTCATGCCACCCACTTCCTCTTCCATTCCTCGCTTCCTTCATTCCCCGTCCCCTTGAGATAACATATACCATAGACCCAGGACAGCATGACTGAGTATGAGCCGAGATGTGGCTGGTTGACGTCAGAACCTGTCTCACGGCGCCACTGTCACGCTGTCTACACGCCTCCCCCAACCTGCCCTGTCTACACGCCTCCCCCAACCTGCCCTGTCTACACGCCTCCCCCAACCTGCACTGTCTACACGCCTCCCCCAACCTGCACTGTCAACACGCCTCCCCCAACCTGCACTGTCTACACGCCTCCCCCAACCTACACTGTCTACACGCCTCCCCCAACCTGCACTGTCAACACGCCTCCCCCAACCTACACTGTCTACACGCCTCCCCCAACCTGCACTGTCTACAGGCCTCCCCCAACCTACACTGTCTACACGCCTCTCCCAACCTGCACTGTCTACACGCCTCCCCCAACCTGCACTGTCTACACGCCTCCCCCAACCTGCACTGTTAACACGCCTCCCCCAACCTGCACTGTCTACACGCCTCCCCCAACCTGCACTGTCAACACGCCTCCCCCAACCTGCACTGTCAACAGGCCTCCCCCAACCTGCACTGTCAACACGCCTCCCCCAACCTGCACTGTCTACACGCCTCCCCCAACCTGCACTGTTAACACGCCTCCCCCAACCTACACTGTCTACACGCCTCCCCCAACCTGCACTGTCAACACGCCTCCCCCAACCTGCACTGTCAACAGGCCTCCCCAACCTGCACTGTCAACACGCCTCCCCCAACCTGCACTGTCAACAGGCCTCCCCCAACCTGCACTGTCAACAGGCCTCCCCCAACCTGCACTGTCAACAGGCCTCCCCCAACCTGCACTGTCAACACGCCTCCCCCAACCTGCACTGTCTACACGCCTCCCCTAACCTGCACGGTCTACACGCCTCCCCCAACCTGCCCTGTCTACACGCCTCCCCCAACCTACACTGTCAACACGCCTCCCCCAACCTGCACTGTCAACAGGCCTCCCCCAACCTGCACTGTCAACAGGCCTCCCCCAACCTGCACTGTCAACACGCCTCCCCCAACCTGCACTGTCAACAGGCCTCCCCCAACCTGCACTGTCAACACGCCTCCCCCAAACTGCACTGTCTACACGCCTCCCCCAACCTGCACTGTCTACACGCCTCCCCCAACCTGCACTGTCAACACGCCTCCCCCAACCTGCACTGTCTACACGCCTCCCCCAACCTGCACTGTCAACAGGCCTCCCCCAACCTGCACTGTCAACACGCCTCCCCCAACCTGCACTGTCTACACGCCTCCCCCAACCTGCACTGTCAACAGGCCTCCCCCAACCTGCACTGTCAACACGCCTCCCCCAACCTGCACTGTCTACACGCCTCCCCCAACCTGCACTGTCAACAGGCCTCCCCCAACCTGCACTGTCAACACGCCTCCCCCAACCTGCACTGTCTACACGCCTCCCCCAACCTGCACTGTCAACAGGCCTCCCCCAACCTGCACTGTCAACACGCCTCCCCCAACCTGCACTGTCTACACGCCTCCCCCAACCTGCACTGTCTACACGCCTCCCCCAACCTGCACTGTCAACACGCCTCCCCCAACCTGCACTGTCAACACGCCTCCCCCAACCTGCACTGTCAACACGCCTCCCCCAACCTGCACTGTCTACACGCCTCCCCCAACCTGCACTGTCAACACGCCTCCCCCAACCTGCACTGTCAACACGCCTCCCCCAACCTGCACTGTCTACACGCCTCCCCCAACCTGCACTGTCAACACGCCTCCCCCAACCTGCACTGTCTACACGCCTCCCCCAACCTGCACTGTCAACACGCCTCCCCCAACCTGCACTGTCTACACGCCTCCCCCAACCTGCACTGTCTACACGCCTCCCCCAACCTGCACTGTCAACACGCCTCCCCCAACCTACACTGTCTACACGCCTCCCCCAACCTACACTGTCAACACGCCTCCCCCAACCTGCACTGTCTACACGCCTCCCCCAACCTGCACTGTCAACACGCCTCCCCAACCTACACTGTCTACACGCCTCCCCCAACCTGCACTGTCTACAGGCCTCCCCCAACCTACACTGTCAACAGGCCTCCCCCAACCTGCACTGTCTACACGCCTCCCCCAACCTACACTGTCTACACGCCTCCCCCAACCTTCACTGTCAACAGGCCTCCCCCAACCTACACTGTCAACACGCCTCCCCCAACCTGCACTGTCAACACGCCTCCCCCAACCTGCACTGTCAACAGGCCTCCCCCAACCTGCACTGTCTACACGCCTCCCCCAACCTACACTGTCTACACGCCTCCCCCAACCTGCACTGTCAACAGGCCTCCCCCAACCTACACTGTCTACACGCCTCCCCCAACTTACACTGTCAACACGCCTCCCCCAACCTGCACTGTCAACACGCCTCCCCCAACCTACACTGTCTACAGGCCTCCCCCAACCTACACTGTGTACACGCCTCCCCCAACCTACACTGTCAACAGGCCTCCCCCAACCTGCACTGTCTACACGCCTCCCCCAACCTGCACTGTCAACAGGCCTCCCCCAACCTGCACTGTCTACAGGCCTCCCCCAACCTACACTGTCAACACGCCTCCCCCAACCTGCACTGTCAACACGCCTCCCCCAACCTGCACTGTCAACACGCCTCCCCCAACCTGCCCCAGCTCCCCACCACACACACAAATATAAAGCAAGGAGCAGGCTGGCACTCATGGCACTGAACCAGGTCGTATGGTGCCATTACCCCTCAGTCATACAACCATTCCTCCGCGGACACCTGCTTGAGGGGTCACCTATCCCTGCGTATGGCGAGGCAGGTGTAGCTCTAGGGCCCCGCCACTTGTCTCTTAGCTATTGATGATACCTGCTCTCACCACTGGCAATGGTAGTGAGGTCGTCACCCCCCCCCCCTTTACCAGCTGTGTGTGTGTGTACTCACCTAGTTGTGTCTGCAGGATCGAGCATTGACTCTTGGATCCCGCCTTTCGAGCATCGGTTGTTTACAGCAATGACTCCTGTCCCATTTCCCTATCATACCTGGTTTTAAAATTATGAATAGTATTTGCTTCCACAACCTGTTCCTGAAGTGCATTCCATTTTCCCACTACTCTCACGCTAAAAGAAAACTTCCTAACATCTCTGTGACTCATCTGAGTTTCAAGCTTCCATCCATGTCCCCTCGTTCTGTTACTATTCCGTGTGAACATTTCGTCTATGTCCACTCTGTCAATCCCTCTGAGTATCTTATACGTTCCTATCATGTCCCTCCTCTCCCTTCTTCTTTCTAGTGTCGTAAGGCACAGTTCCCTCAGGCGCTCCTCATACCCCATCCCTCGTAGCTCTGGGACGAGTCTCGTTGCAAACCTCTGAACCTTTTCCAGTTCATTATATGCTTCTTCAGATGGGGACTCCATGATGAGGCGGCATACTCTAAGACTGGCCTTACGTAGGCAGTGTAAAGCGCCCTAAATGCCTCCTTACTTAGGTTTCTGAATGATGTTTTAACTTTTGCCAGTGTAGAGTACGCTGCTGTCGTTATCCTATTTATATGTGCCTCAGGAGATAGATTAGGTGTTACGTCCACCCCCAGGTCTCTTTCACGCGTCGTTACAGGTAGGCTGTTCCCCTTCATTGTGTACTGTCCCTTTGGTCTCCTATCTCCTAGTCCCATTTCCATAACTTTACATTTGCTCGTGTTGAATACCAGTAGCCATTTCTCTGACCATCTCTGCAACCTGTTCAGGTCCTCTTGGAGGATCCTGCAATCCTCATCTGTCACAACTCTTCTCATCAACTTTGCGTCATCCGCAAACATCGACATGTAGGACTCTACGCCTGTAAACATGTCGTTAACATATACAAGAAATAGAATTGGTCCCAGCACCGATCCTTGTGGTACTCCACTTGTTACTGTTCGCCAGTCCGACTTCTCGCCCCTTACCGTAACTCTTTGGCTCCTTCCTGTTAGGTAGTTCCTTATCCATGCTAGGACCTTTCCCCCCACCCCCGCCTGCCTCTCGAGCTTGAACAGCAGTCTCATGTGCGGTACTGTATCAAAGGCTTTTTGGCAGTCCAGAAATATGCAGTCTGCCCAACCATCTCTGTCCTGTCTTATCCTCGTTATTTTATCATAGAATTCCAGAAGATTTGTTAGGCACGATTTCCCTGTCCAGAACCCATGTTGATGTTTGTTCACAAACCTAATGTTCTCCAGGTGTGCAACCAGTCGTAGCCTAATTATTCTTTCAAGTATTTTACAGGGGATGCTTGTCAGTGATACAGGTCTATAGTTAAGTGCCTCCTCCCTATCACCTTTCTTGAAGATCGGCACGACATTTGCCTTCTTCCAGCAACTGGGCAATTCTCCTGGCATAAGTGACTCATTAAAGATCATTGCCAGAGGCACGCTGAGGGCCTCTGCTGCTTCTTTTAGTATCCACGGTGATACTTTGTCTGGTCCAACTGCTTTAGTTGCATCTAGAGTTGTCAACTGTTTCATTACCTCCTCTGCTGTCACCTCTATATCTGATAGTCTTTCATCTAGGGTAACCCCTTCCAACAATGGGAGCTGCTCAGGCTCGGTAGTGAACACTCCATGGAAACTGGCATTCAGTGCCTCGCAGATTTCCTTGTCACTTTCAGTATATGCCCCCTCTGTCTTCCTTAGTCTTGTCACTTGGTCGTTCACCGACATTTTTCTTCTTATATGACTGTGTAGTAACTTAGGTTGTTTTTTCTCTTTGATTGCAATATCATTCTCATAGTCCCTTTCCGATGTTCGTCTTATGTTAATGTAATCGTTCCTAGCTCTGTTGTATCTGATCCTGTTGTCCTCTGTTCTTTGTCTTCTGTACTTCCTCCACTCCCGCCTGCTGGCCATTTTTGCTTCCTGACACTGTCTATTAAACCATGGGTTATTATATTCCTTCTTATTTTTTCCCTTTACCGTTGGTATAAATCTCTCTTCGGCCTCCTGGCATTTCTGTATGACTAGGTCCATCATATCTTGGACTGTTTTTCCTCTAATTTCTTCCTCCCACTGCACTTCACCCAGATAGTCCCTTATCCTCTTATAGTCCCCTTTCCTGTAGTCAGCTCTCCTTTCCCAGATCTCTTGTCCCATGGTCATAAGTTTGAATTCCATCATGTAGTCAAAGACTAGGACACAATGGTCACTGGCCCCTAGAGGTATTTCATGCTCTAAATTCTCGATATCTTCTACGTTCTGGGTGAAAATCAGGTCTAATAGGCTCGGTGCATCTCCTCCTCTTTCCATGTGTCTTCCTTCACATGTTGTGTTAGGAAATTCCTGTCTATAACATCTACTAATTTTGCTCCCCACGTTTCGTCCCCTCCATGGGGATTCCTTGATTCCCAATTTATCTCTCCATGATTTAGGTCCCCCATGATCAGCAGCTTCGCTCTCATTCTGTGGGCTAGTGTTGCTGCCTTCTGAAGTTCATCTATACATGCTTTGTTGTTGTCATCATACTACTGCCTGGGTCTTCTACTGTTTGGTGGGGGATTGTAGATTACCAAGATCACAATCTTCCTCCCATCTACTGTCAGAGTTCCATGTATGAAGCTTGTGCACTCATTGGTAACTCGATTTCCCAGGTCTTCAAACTTCCATTTCCGCTTTATTAGGAGTGCTACTCCCCCTCCCTGTCTCTGTGTCCTCTCTTTTCGTATCACCTGGTACCCTTCAGGAAAGATTGCATCTGAGATCATGTCATTAATTTTAGTTTCCACAATTGCAACTATGTCAGGATCTGCTTCACTCACTCTTTCTTTTATCTCTTCTGCTTTATTAGATACCCCATCAGCATTGGTGTACCAAACCTTGAGATTCTTCATGGAAACTCTTGTACCAGAGTTCTCCCTTTCTCTGGGGGTCTGGGGGGATCTGGGGGTGTCTGGGGGGTGACTGGGGGCGGGGAGGATCCGGGGGATGTCCGGGGGGATCCAGGGGGTGTCTGGGGGGGTCCGGGGGGTGTATGGGGGGTGAAAGAGGTCAGGAGGGGTGCTTGGGGGGCTACTGGGGGCTGGGCTTCTAGGAAGGTAGGTAGGAGGGTCTGGGGTAGGGCCTGGGTAGGTAGGTCTGGAGTAGGAAGGGCATACTGGGTCTGAAGATTAGGGAGGGCATAGAGGGGTTGGGAGATAGCGTAAGGTTGGGAGTCAGATAGAGGTTGAGAGGTTGGGAGGGGGAAGGATAGAGGGGGTGGGAGGAACCTCCCACCCCCCTCGCAAGGGTGGGGGGTCACATGGAAGGAGAGGGGATGAGGAGGGGTGAGGGCTGGGTAGGCTTTGGGTGTTGAGGGGATGAGGGCTGGGTGGGTTCTTGGGGTTGAGGGGATGAGGGCTGGGTGGGTTTTGGGGGTTGAGGGGATGAGGGCTGGGTGGGTTTTGGGGGTTGAGGGGATGAGGGCTGGGTGGGTTTTGGGGGTTGAGGGGATGAGGGCTGGACGGGTTTTGGGGGTTGAGGTGATGAGGGGATCCTTGGCAATTTCTTGCGTGTGTGTGTGTGTGTGTGTGTGTGTGTGTGTGTGTGTGTGTGTGTGTGTGTGTGTGTGTGTGTGTGTTTGCCTGATACCTGAGGGCCAGTATCACTAGTTGCCTCGACGGGGACACGAAGCCGGTGAATTGTCAAAGATCCCGTCCTATATTCTCGACAATTTTGTCCAGCTGAAGGCCAATACAAGACCAAGAGCAACGAGAACAACAAGCTCAAACAAAGACAATAACAACAAAAGAATCAAGAACACAACAACAACATAAAACCACTAACAACAACAATAACAACAACAAGAACGACAATAATAAGAAATACAAAACAAAAACAATAACAACAACACTTACAATAAGAACATAAAAACATGTATAGCAAGAACATGGAGTTGCAAGGACACTAATGATAAGGCAACAACACTCCCAGACACCACGGCAACAACAACAACAACAACAACAACAACAACAACAACAACAACAACCTCACAACAACAACAACAACAACAACAACAACAACAACAACAACAACAACCTCACAACAACAACAACAACAACAACAACAACAACAACAACACAACAGGGGAGAACACACAACATAGCCCCAGGCGTGCAGGGACTGTGTACTGCCCTAGATGTGCTTGCAGGTCGAGCTAGGCTCCTGGTCCCCGCCTGGCGAACGTTCTTAGAATAATTCTACAACTCATTTCTCAAGTTTTTTTTATAATATTTAAATATAAAAACTTTGAATCGAATAATTTTCAAGGACTTGTACGTCAAGGCTGTCGCACTTACTGAGCGCTCCGACACTGTAAAAGTCGGAGCTCCCTCCCTGCAAACACAAACCGTAACTGTCGCTATTTTCCGCTTGTTACAACTTGTAATAAAGTTGTTACATCTTGGCTTAACGTGTTTATGACGTATTAGAACGTTGTTACAACTTGCTATATTGGTTGTTATAACTGGTTAGGAGGTGTTAAAACTTGTTCCAACGTTGTACCAACGTCGTAGTTTCGGTGTGTGTTTGGCGGGAGCTTACGTCTCTGACTCAGTCTATGAGTCCCTCGTTCTCCGGCTCTTCCTAGCTGTGAACAATGCTGCTTTGTCCCACCTTCTCGTTATCCCTTAGAATGTTATATGTTGTTATCTTGTGAGGGAGAGGGGGGGGGGGGGAGGGGGGAGTGTTGCACAGCTCCTCATACTCCCCTCCACATGGTGACCGCCAGCACAGGTAACACCATCTTTTACACTCATCTGCGTTTACAGCTTCCCACCTGTTTCCTCCTCACCGATTTGATCTCAGAGACTGTCTGTGTCCACCTTGGATTAAGTGATCACGTCCCTTCTGTTCCTTGTGTCACGGTGGCCTAGTCCGCCGCACTCCTGAGTCTTGGTGTAGCACTTCCGGAGCTGCTGATTCCGGGTCGTCGTTCCACATTATTGTATTGTGTCACAGATTAATTTAAAGGGAAGGGAACTATCAAGGGAAAAGCGCCAAGCCATTACGACTCTATAGCACCAGATGAATTTGAAAGTATTTAAGCTTTTTATACACAGTTCTAATGTTCGCCAGTTTACATATACCTTTCTCTCACCTCCTACAGCGGTCTCTCACCTCCCACAGCGGTCTCTCACCTCCCACATCGGTCTCTCACCTCCCACAGCGGTCTCTCACCTCCCACAGCGGTCTCTCACCTCCCACAGCGGTCTCTCACCTCCCACAGCGGTCTCTCACCTCCTACAGCGGTCTCTCACCTCCCACAGCGGTCTCTCACCTCCCACATCGGTCTCTCACCTCCCACAGCGATCTCTCACCACCCACAGCGGTCTCTCACCTCCCACATCGGTCTCTCACCTCCCACATCGGTCTCTCACCTCCCACAGCGGTCTCTCACCTCCCACAGCGGTCTCTCACCTCCCACAGCGGTCTCTCACCTCCCACAGCGGTCTCTCACCTCCCACAGCGGTCTCTCACCTCCTACAGCGGTCTCTCACCTCCCACAGCGGTCTCTCACCTCCCACATCGGTCTCTCACCACCCACATCGGTCTCTCACCTCCCACAGCGGTCTCTCACCTCCCACAGCGGTCTCTCACCTCCCACAGCGGTCTCTCACCTCCCACAGCGGTCTCTCACCTCCCACATCGGTCTCTCACCTCCCACATCGGTCTCTCACCTCCCACAGCGGTCTCTCACCTCCCACAGCGGTCTCTCACCTCCCACAGCGGTCTCTCACCTCCCACAGCGGTCTCTCACCTCCTACATCGGTCTCTCACAACACACCTTTCACTACTAACACTCCCCTACCACAGGTGCCACCCACAGGAGACGCTCTCCACTGCCGTTACCTCTCACAGCAGACGCCACCCTCCACCAAGCCTCCCCCACCGCCCACGCCACCCTCCACCAAGCCTACCCCACCGCCCACGCCACCCACCGCCCACGCCGCCCACCGCCCACGCCGCCCACCGCCTACGCCGCCCACCGCCCACGCCGCCCACGCCGCCCACCGCTCACGCCGCCCACCGCCCAAGCAACTGGTGGATGACTGTGTTGCAAAAGCTGTGAACAGAAGGAGTTGTTGTGGGCATCAGCTGACCCCATTCATAAAGACCGGCAGCACCTTGTGGCGGGTGTTTATAGTGGCGACTTCCTCCTGAGGCCGGGGTGAGGGGGGAGCCTGGCCAGGGTGAGGCAGGGGGCGGCGGGGGTGAGGCAGGGGGCGGCGGGGGTGAGGCAGGGGCGGCGGGGGTGAGGCAGGGGGCGGCGGGGGTGAGGCAGGGGGCGGCGGGGGTGAGGCAGGGGGCGGGGGGGCCTGGCCAGGGTGAGGCAGGGGTGAGGCAGGGGGCGGCGGGGGTGAGGCAGGGGCCTGGCCGGGGTGAGGCAGGGGGCGGCGGGGGTAAGGCAGGGGGCGGCGGGGGGCCTGGCCGGAGTGAGGCAGGGGGCGGCGGGGGGCCTGGCCGGGGTGAGGCAGGGGCCTGGCTGGGGTGAGGTAGGGGGCGTGGCCGGGGTGAAGCAGGAGGCGGCGGGGCCTGACCGGGGTGAGGCAGGGGGCGGCGGGGGGCCTGGCCGGGGTGAGGCAGGGGGCCTGGCCGGAGTGAGGCAGGGGCGGCGGGGGTGAAGCAGGGGGCGGGGGGTCCTGGCCGGGGTGTGGCGGGGGGCGGCGGGGGGCGTGGCCGGGGTGAGGCAGGGGCCTGGCCGGGGTGAGGCAGGGGGCGTGGCTGAAGTGAGGCAGGGGGCGTGGCCGGGGTGAGGCACGGGCCGGCGGGGCCTGGCCGGGGTGAGGCAGGGGGCGGCGGGGGGCTTGGCCGGGTGAGGCAGGGGCCTGGCCGGGGTGAGGCAGGGGGCGGCGGGGCCTGGCCGGGGTGAGGCAGGGGCGGCGGGGGCCTGGCCGGGGTGAGGCAGGGGGCGGCGGGGGCCTGGCCGGGGTGAGGCAGGGGGCGTGGCCGGGGTGAGCAAGGGGGCGGCGGGGCCTGGCCGGGGTGAGGCAGGGGGCGGCTGGGGCCTGGCCGGGGTGAGGCAGGGAGCGGGGGGGGGGCCTGGCCGGGGTGAGGCAGGGGCGGCGAGGGCCTGGCCGGGGTGAGGCAGGGGGCGGCGGGGGCCTGGCCGGGGTGAGGCAGGGGGCGGCGGGGGCCTGGCTGGGGTGAGGCAGGGGGCGGCGGGGGCCTGGCCGGGGTGAGGCAGGGGGCGGCGGGGGCCTTGCCGGGTGAGGCAGGGAGGGAGGTGGTTCAGGAAGAGGGAAGGAGGGGAGTTGTGAAGGAATCAGGTAGGAGGATGCGAAGGATAATATGAAGGCTGGAAGGAAAAGAAAGATGGAAAGGCAGTCACGTGACCCGCAGGGCGTCCGGATAATTCAGGAATTATCAATAAATGTGTTCCTGTATAAGTGTGTGGGGCTTAATACCAGTAGTGGGACAGTCCGCCCACACCAGGTGGGAAAGATTTTATATACATACATACATACACACACACACACATATATATATATATATATATATATATATATATATATATATATATATATGTCGTACCTAGTAGCCAGAACGCACTTCTCAGCCTACTATGCAAGGCCCGATTTGCCTAATAAGCCAAGTTTTCATGAATTAATTGTTTTTCGACTACCTAACCTACCTAACCTAACCTAACCTAACTTTTTCGGCTACCTAACCTAACCTAACCTATAGAGATAGGTTAGGTTAGGTTAGGTAGGGTTGGTTAGGTTCGGTCATATATCTACGTTAATTTTAACTCCAATAAAATAAATTGACCTCATACATAATGAAATGGGTAGCTTTATCCTTTCATAAGAAAAAAATTAGAGAAAATGTATTAATTCAGGAAAACTTGGCTTATTAGGCAAATCGGGCCTAGCATAGTAGGCTGAGAAGTGCGTTCTGGCTACTAGGTACGACATATATATATATATATATATATATATATATATATATATATATATATATATATATATATATATATATATATATATATATATATATAAATCCTTATCTCCAATATATATAAAATCGGTTATCTCCTGCATAGCAGTAGATTCTGTCTGTTCCTTACGACCTCAATATCAGTACGCTCGAACATCAAGATTCAACATGAAAAAACACCAACAATACCTGCCAACACGTATTGTCCCATCCCCCCCCCCTACCCTCCACGGGCCGAACACCTGCGGTCTCGTCACCACCCCAGACGCCAGACTAACCATCGTGACGGTGGTTATGCTGCCTGCTCCTCCTCAAGACTCTGATTCGCGCCAGTGTGACGTCACCGCCTGTATATATACCCAGGCTGGCGGCTTAGTCAGGCACAGAGGTCACGACCTCTCCGTAGGGTGCAGTCGCCCCTCCACAGATCTCCAGTATCAGCTAATGATACTGGCAATGGCCCCAAAGGGCCACCACTTACGGGCTATTCATGCCCGTGCCACCTTTTGGGTGGCTTAATCTTCATCAGTCTTAGTCAGGCAGAGGCCCCTGGTGCTCCCAGCTCGCCTGTGTCTGCTCTTACCGTGACGTTCCGACGAATGGGTGACAGTTGCCATTCAGAGCACATTGTATAAAGTCATATTTCACCTTTTGTCAGTAACCTAACATCACTTGCATATATTTTTCTTTTGATTGTGTGTTAGCCAAGTAGTCAAGGCTTTTTTTTGTTTTTAACTATTCATTATTAATTTTTATTTGTAAGAGTAAAGTAAATTGTTATTAATTTTTGTTATCATCGAGACCATTCAAGCTTGTTTGCACGTGTGAATATATATATTAAATATATATATATATATTATATATATGCTGGTAGCATTGCAACTTGTTGCTGTAAAAACACTACCATCATTTTCTATGGGCGACTGTTGAGTAACCCAGGAGACAGTATGTTGTGCGAGAGGTCCCCGACACTGTCCACGGAGGACAGAGGAAGATGTGTGTGCGCTAGTGGGCACAACTCCCATCCCTCGTATAAAATAACATAAATAATCAAAGCGTGGTAATAGTGCTCAGAACAGACTGGACTGAGGGCCTGGCCACCCAGACTGAGCAAGAGCTCATGCGTCATCACAAACCAAGTGTCATTCACTCAGCGAGTGATAAAACAACGCTTAATAACACACTAAACAGGAACACCAAGACGCCATAATGGGTGCCCACACGTCGGGACACTTGTACCCATCTATACTCATAGGTATAGATGAACAAACTACCACACGAATAGCTGAAAAGATTCAGAAAATTATGAAAACGTCACTGCACTCAAGACCGAGAAACAACCAGGAACTCTCCATAGCTATATAATATATAAATAAACATAAAGAAAATGTCCGTGAATGAGCGAAGGAAGAAGTACATTATGAAAACGACAATGAGATGTGCGAGGAGCTCCCAGCCTCCCGGGGCACTGATGAGCCGGAGCAGTTGCCAGTAAGAGGTAGTGACCAAGGTGGAGAGGCTCACAACTGTCGAAGCATCGCCAGAGAGGATAGCGAGACAAGCCCGTGTACTCTATAGAACGAAGGTGCGTGAGTGTAGGGCAAGACAGCAGCACCATCAATACCGAGACAGAGCAGGCCGCGAATTTACCTCTAAAATTAGTCTTAACTTAATATATACAAGAGTTGTTACATTCTTGTACAGCCACTAGTACGCGTAGCGTTTCGGGCAAGTCCTTAATCCTATGGTCCCTGGAATACGATCCCCTGCCGCGAAGAATCGTTTTTGCATCCAAGTACACATTTTACTGTTGCGTTAAACAGAGGCTACAGTTAAGGATTTGCGCCCAGTAAATCCTCCCCGGCCAGGATACGAACTCATGACAAAACGCTCGCGGAACGGCAGGCGAGTGTCTTACCACTACACCACGGAGACTGGTGTAGTGGTGGTGGAGCTGCAGCATCTAGTGCTCGGGGGTACTAGATGGGGAACTACGGGTCTTCTATCTAGCAGAATATAAAATAATGAGTGGTGCCTTTATATTCAGCATGGTTGAAGTTTGTCTTTGTTCTGATCACTGTTTTGTGCTTAGCAGTGACGTCCTGTGAGGGCGAGTCTGGTGCTGTAGCGGGGAGCATGGTGTGGTGCTGGGGGAGATGGTGTGGTGCTGGGGGAGATGGTGTGGTGCTGGGGGAGATGGTGTGGTGCTGGGGGAGATGGTGTGGTGCTGGGGGAGATGGTGTGGTGCTGGGGGGACGGTGTGGTGCTGGGGGGGGGATGGTGTGGTGCTGGGGGGACGGTGTGGTGCTGGGGGGGGGATGGTGTGGTGCTGGGGGGACGGTGTGGGGCTGGGGGGACGGTGTGGTGCTGGAGGGGATGGTGTGGTGCTGGGGGCATGGTGTGGTGCTGGGGGGTGTGGTGCTGGGGGGTGTGGTGCTGGGGGGCCGGTGTGGTGCTGGGGGCATGGTGTGGTGCTGGGGGAGATGGTGGTGGTGCTGGGGGGGCGACCGTGGTACATAGTAAAGGAGTGTACACTATATGTAATGTTTTAAATACTTCGTTATATTATTTTATATGGCAAGTGAAGGTTAATTTATTGTCTGAGTTTAGGCCTAGCATTTTCTTTCTCAGCTCCTAATTTGGTTTTTTTTTATCCTTATATCTATTTCGATGGTACATGTATTTGCAAATAATATTTAGTATGATTGTTGAGGGTGAAGTTTGTTGCTGTCTATTGTTCTAAGTTGGTGGGTGGCATTGGTGGCATGAGGGGGGCTCAGAGGCCGGGGCATGCTACCCTAGTGCCCTCTAATGGTTACTGCCAGCGAGGGAGGAGTACCATCGCTTTCGGAAACATATTGGTGACTGTCACTGAGATGGCATTGACTGAAGGCAGTTTACCCTGACTACAGCGGTGCTGTGTTAGGAGAAAGATATTTTGGGCAAGTGTGGAAGGGCAAAGGTGACTCCAAAGTCACCAAATACTTCAATCTGGTGCCCATTTTCGTGAAGCGCCGAGTGTACCGAGGCAAGCACGCGTGTTATAGCACCAAGGCTGATCCTCGCAGCTCTCGATACATACTGATTCATGCTTAGTATATTATGTTTAAACTAGAAAGCAAGAAGCAATTTCCATTGGCGACCGGCGGCTAAAATGCGGGGCCCAGGAGCTGGAAGTGGGCGTGCGAGCGCAGGCAGCGTACACAGACACACCCAGCGTGGACAGCGGCCAGTGCTCCACATATTGTCAAGGACCCACACAAAACATTGGTAATGACCCAGCAATCTCCACCGCCCTCGGTGTCCCCCACTCCACGCCTTCACTGCCAGTACCAGGCTGGGTACTGCTGGACACCCCCCAGTGTACCCTCCCACAACCTGGCTACACCAGTGTACCCTCCCACACACACCTGACTACACCAGTGTACCCTCCCACACACACCTGACTACACCAGTGTACCCTCCCACAACCTGGCTACACCAGTGTACCCTCCCACACACACCTGACTACACCAGTGTACCCTCCCACACACACCTGACTACACCAGTGTACCCTCCCACACACACCTGACTACACCAGTGTACCCTCCCACAACCTGGCTACACCAGTGTACCCTCCCACACACACCTGACTACACCAGTGTACCCTCCCACAACCTGGCTACACCAGTGTACCCTCCCACACACACCTGACTACACCAGTGTACCCTCCCACACACACCTGACTACACCAGTGTACCCTCCCACACACACCTGACTACACCAGTGTACCCTCCCACAACCTGGCTACACCAGTGTACCCTCCCACACCCACCTGACTACCCCAGTGTACCCTCCCACAACCTGGCTACACCAGTGTACCCTCCCACACACACACCTGACTACACCAGTGTACCCTCCCACAACCTGGCTACACCAGTGTACCCTCCCACACACACCTGACTACACCAGTGTACCCTCCCACACACACCTGACTACACCAGTGTACCCTCCCACAACCTGGCTACACCAGTGTACCCTCCCACACACACCTGACTACACCAGTGTACCCTCCCACAACCTGGCTACACCAGTGTACCCTCCCACACACACCTGACTACACCAGTGTACCCTCCCACACACACCTGACTACACCAGTGTACCCTCCCACACACACCTGACTACACCAGTGTACCCTCCCACAACCTGGCTACACCAGTGTACCCTCCCACACACACCTGACTACACCAGTGTACCCTCCCACAACCTGGCTACACCAGTGTACCCTCCCACACACACCTGACTACACCAGTGTACCCTCCCACAACCTGGCTACACCAGTGTACCCTCCCACACACACCTGACTACACCAGTGTACCCTCCCACACACACCTGACTACACCAGTGTACCCTCCCACACACACCTGACTACACCAGTGTACCCTCCCACACACACCTGACTACACCAGTGTACCCTCCCACACACACACTGACTACACCAGTGTACCCTCCCACACACACACACACACCTGGCAACACCAGTGTACCCTCCCACACACACACCTGGCTACACCAGTGTACCCTCCCACACACACCTGGCTACACCAGTGTACCCTCCCACACACACACACACCTGGCTACACCAGTGTACCATCCCACACACACACACACCTGGCTACACCAGTGTACCCTCCCCCACACACACACACCTGGCTACACCAGTGTACCATCCCACACACACACACACCTGGCTACACCAGTGTACCCTCCCCCACACACACACCTGGCTACACCAGTGTACCCTCCCACACACACCTGGCTACACCAGTGTACCCTCCCACACACACCTGGCTACATCAGTGTACCATCCCACACACCTGGCTACACCAGTATACCCTCCCACACACACACACACCTGGCTACACCAGTGTACCATCCCACACACCTGGCTACACCAGTGTACCCTCCCACACACACCTGGCTACATCAGTGTACCCTCACACACACCTGGCTACACCAGTGTACCCTCCCACACACACCTGGCTACACCAGTGTACCCTCCCACACACACACCTGGCTACACCAGTGTACCCTCCCACACACACCTGGCTACACCAGTGTACCCCCCACACACCTGGCTACACCAGTGTACCCTCCCACACACCTGGCTACACCAGTGTACCCTCCCACACACCTGGCTACACCAGTGTACCCCCCACACATCTGGCTACATCAGTGTACCCTCACACACACCTGGCTACACCAGTGTACCCTCCCACACACCTGGCTACACAAGTGTACCCTCCCACACACACGTGGCTACACCAGTGTACCCTCCCACACACACCTGGCTACACCAGTGTACCCTCCCACACACACCTGGCTACACCATTGTACCCCCCCACACACACACCTGGCTACACCAGTGTACCCTCCCACACACACACCTGGCTACACCAGTGTACCCCCCCACACACACACCTGGCTACACCAGTGTACGCCCCCCACACACACACCTGGCTACACCAGTGTACCCTCCCACAAACTCACACACCTGGCTACACCAGTGTACCCTCCCACACTCACACACCTGGCTACACCAGTGTACCCCCCACACGCACACCTGGCTACACCAGTGTACCCTCCCACACACCTGGCTACACCAGTGTACCCTCCCACACACACACACACCTGGCTACACCAGTGTACCCTCCCCCACACACACACACCTGGCTACACCAGTGTACCCTCCCACACACCTGGCTACACCAGTGTACCCTCCCACACACCTAGCTACACCAGTGTACCCTCACACACACCTGGCTACGCTAGTGTACCCTCCCACACACCTGGCCACACCAGTGTAGCCTCCCACACACCTGGCTACACCAGTGTACCCTCCCCCACACACACCTGGCTACACCAGTGTACCCTCCCACACACCTGGCTACACCAGTGTACCCCCCCACACACACACCTGGCTACACCAGTGTACCCTCCCACACACCTGGCTACACCAGTGTACCCTCCCCCACACACACCTGGCTACACCAGCGTACCCTCCCCCTTCACACCTGGCTACACCAGTGTACCCCCCACACACACCTGGCTACACCAGTGTACCCTCCCACACACACACACACACACCTGGCTACACCAGTTGACCCTTCCACACACCTGGCTACACCAGTGTACCCTCCCACACACACACACACACACCTGGCTACACCAGTTGACCCTTCCACACACCTGGCTACACCAGTGTACCCTCCCACACACACACACCTGGCTACACCAGTGTACCCTCCCACACACACACACACCTGGCTACACCAGTGTACCCCCCACACACACCTGGCTACACCAGTGTACCCTCCCACACACACACACCTGGCTACACCAGTGTACCCTCCCACACACACACACCTGGCTACACCAGTGTACCCTCCCACACACACACACCTGGCTACACCAGTGTACCCCCCACACACACCTGGCTACACCAGTGTACCCTCCCCCACACACCTGACCACACCAGTGTACCCCTCCCACACACACCTGGCTACATCAGTATACCCTCCCACATACACACACACCTGGCTACACCAGTGTACCCTCCCACACACCTGGCTACACCAGTGTACCCTCCCACACACACCTGGCTACATTGTACCCTCCCACACAGACACACACCTGGCTACACCAGTGTACCCTCCCACACACCTGGCTACACCAGTGTACCCCTCCCACACACACCTGGCTACATCAGTGTACCCTCCCACACACACACACCTGGCTACACCAGTGTACCCCTCCCACACACACCTGGCTACATCAGTGTACCCTCCCACACACACACACACACCTGGCTACACCAGTGTACCCTCCCACACACACACACACACCTGGCTACATCAGTGTACCCTCCCACACACACACACACACCTGGCTACACCAGTGTACCCTCCCACACACACACACACACCTGGCTACACCAGTGTACCCTCCCACACACACACACACCTGGCTACACCAGTGTACCCTCCCACACACACACACACCTGGCTACATCAGTGTACCCTCCCACACACACACACACACCTGGCTACACCAGTGTACCCTCCCACACACACACACACACACCTGGCTACATCAGTGTACCCTCCCACACACACACACACCTGGCTACACCAGTGTACCCTCCCACACACCTAACATTAGCGGTACTCATCAGCAGAAGAGCGTCAAGAACGTGACCTAAAGGCCCCTCCCAGGGGCATATATATACATCATATGTCAGGCCCATTCTTAAGTATGCTGCACCGGCGTGGCACTCTTACCTAAACCAGTATAAAACAACACTAAAATGATCGACAACCGAGCAATGAAGGAGACTGTGGTAACAGAAGCAAACTACACTGGAAGAAATAAGCAAGACATGATAACGACGTCAATAGTGAGGAACGGCTGAGTGATCACACAAAAATGGAAAGTGGAAATAAACGAGTAACTGAAATACAGAACGTTACCAAAAACCCCCAGGCATACTCATTCTCACTCACACTCTCATACTCTTACAGTCTCTCTCTCACAAACACACACACACACACACACACACACACACACACACACACTGAGGCAGCCTGTGTTACTCACCAGAGAAGGGCAAGGGTGGTGACTGTTGTCTTGGTGAACGACCAGAGTGCTGCAGTATAGTGACAACACCACTGCTTGGATGACTCTTACTCATCCACAGCTCCACCAGTAACTGGCTGAGTGACTTGTTGAGTCTTACTCACCACATCACAACCGGAATTTAAAACTAGAGCGCGCCCGCCAGACCTGAGGACTGACCAAGGGAACACAATGTGCGTGCGTGTGTGCGTTGGGGGTGTAGGAGAGAGAGGGTTGCGTGTGTGTGTGTCAGTGCTCGGACAGAGGGTGTGTAGGGCGCCAGGGAGCGCAAGGGGGTGACGGAGAGGCCAAGGGTGGCAGCAGATAGCAAGCATCCCGACTGACACATCCTGTGTTGTAATTAACGGATCCCCAACTCCGCGGGTATCCGCTGGAAGCCTCACGCTGCTGCTGCAGTTCTGGCGGGTGTGGGTAAATCCACAACCATCGCCCACATCGCAGGGAACCGCTGCGAGCCATTTCTGCGGTTCTGCTGTATGGATAAGTCTACAGGACTCAAAAGTATTCAAGTTTCGAAGATTAAAATTGGCCTCAAATTCTGTTAATTTGCAGTAAAATGTGGTTCGTGGTGAGGTAGGAGATTGTGGCGTTTTCGGTGTTGTTGGTGTAGGGGTTGGAGGAGGCGAGGAAAAGACCTGTTGGGGACACCAACATTCGGAGTGGTGGTGGCAGGTGTGGGGCGGTGATGACAGGCGTGGGGTGATGGTGGCAGGCGTGGGGTGGTGGTGGCAGGCGTGTGGGGGGTGGTGGCAGGCGTGGGGTAGTGGTGGCAGACGTGTGGGTGTGGTGGCAGGCGTGTGGTTGTGGTGGCAGGCGTGGGACGGTGGTAGCAAGCGTGGGGTGGTGGTGGCAGGCGTGTGGGGGGTTGTGGCAGGCGTGGGGTAGTGGTGGCAGGAGTGTGGGTGTGGTGGCAGGCGTGGGACGGTGGTGGCAGGCGTGTGGGGGTGGTGGCAGGCGTGGGACGGTGGTGGTGGCAGGCGTGTGGGGGTGGTGGCAGGCGTGGAGGGGTGGTGGTGGTGGCAGGCGTGGAGGGGTGGTGGTGGCAGGCGTGGGACGGTGGTGGTGGCAGGCGTGGAGGGGTGGTGGTGGCAGGCGTGGGACGGTGGTGGTGGCAGGCGTGTGGGGGTGGTGGCAGGCGTGGGGCGGTGGTGGTGGCAGGCGTGGAGGGGTGGTGGTGGCAGGCGTGGAGGGGTGGTGGTGGCAGGCGTGAGACGGTGATGGCAGGCGTGAGACGGTGATGGCAGGCGTAGGATGATGGTGGCAGGCGTGGGGCGGTGGTGGTGGCAGGCGTGGGGCAGTGGTGGTGGCAGGCGTGGGACGGTGGTAGCAGGCGTGTGGGGGGTGGTGGCAGGCGTGGGGTAGTGGTGGCAGGCGTGTGGGTGTGGTGGCAGGCGTGGGACGGTAGTGGCAGGCGTGTGGTGGTGGCAGGCGTGGGACGGTGGTGGCAGGCGTGGGGTGGTGGTGGTGGCAGGCGTGTGGGGTGGTGGCAGGCGTGTGGGTGTGGTGGCAGGCGTGTGGGTGTGGTGGCAGGCGTGGACGGTCGTGGCAGGCGTGGGGTGGTGGTGGCAGGCGTGTTGGGGTTGTGGCAGGCGTGTGGTGGTGGCAGGCGTGGGACGGTGGTGGCAGGCGTGGGGTGGTGGTGGTGGTGGCAGGCGTGTGGGGGTGGTGGCAGGCGTGGGACGGTGGTGGCAGGCGTGGGGTGGTGGTGGTGGTGGTGGCAGGCGTGTGGGGGTGGTGGCAGGCGTGTGGGGGTGGTGGCAGGCGTGTGGGGGTGGTGGCAGGCGTGGGACGGTGGTGGCAGGCGTGGGGTGGTGGTGGTGGTGGCAGGCGTGTGGGGGAGGTGGCAGGCATGGGACGGTGGTGGCAGGCGTGGGGTGGTGGTGGTGGTGGCAGGCGTGTGGGGGTGGTGGCAGGTGTGGGACGTTGGTGGCAGGCGGCGCACCAGTCCTCCTCCTCGTCCAGCTCAACACACAACTTGCGTGGTGGTAATGATGGTGGTGTCGCCTTCCAGCCAGATTTCTGACTTTTCGAAAATCATAATGTTTTTGCTCGTGTTTTACTCCTCAACCAATTGAATCAAGCGTAGAGTGCTTTCAGGCGTCTGGTTGGCCAATGGTACAGGCGGAGGAGAGTAATGACCGTCCCACCGAGTAAACACGGTCAACAACTTATAAGTGGAGTTGCTTGGTGACCACCGGCCAGGTCGGACGTTCCTGGGGTCTCTCCGCTCCTGGCTCATGTTTACTTTGGGTGATTGCTGGTTTGCCCTGCTGGTGGTGGTTTGCCACTGACAGGGTGACGTTTGACTTAGCCATGGGGACTTCTCGCCCTCCAGTGAAAGTACATTGTCGGCTGGTCTGGCATTTACGGTGTCGGTGGACCATTCGTTGGTTGGTGTCGCCCTGTTGGACGTGCTTCATGTGCAGCTGTCGGGCCTGGTGGGCATCCAGCTGCTTCAGGGCCACCGTGCTGTGGTCATGATCCACCTCCAGGCTGCCTTTCAGGCGTTTCTCGAGCGGTGTGAGGGGCGTGTTTGCCCTCTCCCAGATACTGCTGGTTCTGTTAAGGTGTTGTTGTTGTTGAGTTAGGGGCGACGACGATCGTGGGATCGGATGCGCCCCGGCGTACCCGTGAAGCAAAGCCAGGAAAGGCGAAATGTCAAGCCAAAACGCGAAACAAGTGACGCCAAGCACTAGAAACTAATATGCCACACGGCAAAGCTACGCACAAAGGGAGAGGCAGAAGCACAGAATAGAACAGGGCAAACAAACAGCCAGAAGGGCACACAGCATGTCAGAGCAAATGCACAGGAAATCAGAGCACATACTTGCCCGGGAACTTGGCCCACGGGAACCTTACATTAAACGCCTCCCAGAGCACCCATTGCCAAGGGTCTCGTCCATCCACCGGGGACGCCATAACATCCGGAACCGGGGCAACAAACACCTGCAAACTGGAGACCCAGATGGTAGTACTCATGAGGCGAGAAGTCGCCACTCGCCCCCACAGGAAGGGAACTTGCCCCCCACGAAAGCACTCCGGTCCGTCAGACAGCAGTAACTCGGCAATCTTCGACCAGTGACCCGGTGGCATCACAGACGCCGGCAACACGTCCCCTAGGGCCCCAACGCGCACCCGCACCACAGGGGTACCCGCGGCCCCGGGCACACCACCAGACGACAGCAGGGAACCCGGACAGCGTGCATCCTTCCGTAACGTCACCACCAGGTCACGCCCAGCACCAGAGTCCACACCATCCCTGGCAGCGGAAGCCACCACCCCCCCACTGTGGAGAGTCCCCTGGTGGAGAAAGAGCCGAAGGCACGTCCGAGACACAGGCACCAGCACCGGCAGGCACATGGACCTCCGCCACCACGAACCGCGGAGACATCGACGCATCCGTATCCACACAGTCAACATCCGAAGCCCCACAGTCACTGAAGTCACCAACGTCGGCCCAGGAAGAAGACGAACGCCGGGAATGTTTGGGCACCGGCCGGATATCGTCAGAGCCGGTAAGTGACCCAGAAACACGGGTACCACGAGCCGAAGGAACCGACGCCAGGACGGCAGCAGCTTCTACCACAGGGAAAACCGGGTCACACACAGCAGGAGGCTCCGCAGCCACCCCAGCACCAAGCACATCCGGGACCCGAGTCACGGACACAAGGCCAGGCGCAGCATCAGAAGACGAGGGAGAAGACAGCGACGTCACACAGGGAGCTCCAGGAAGGCCCACGGGAGCAGCTGGGACAGCGACAGGATCAGGCAGACCAACCGACGGTACCTCAAGAACCGGAGGAGGGACGGCAACAACCGGAGGAGGGACGGCAACAACCGGAGGAACGGCAGGCGCCGCCGGGGAAGCTGCAACAGCAAACGGGACGCGCACCACCTCATCAACATCACCAGAGACTGCCTCCAGAGGGAGCGGCGGGAAATCCTCGTCGCGGAACAAGTTGACAGGAGCAGCAGGGTCCTCAGAGCACCCGGCAGCCTGATGCCCCAACAGGCCACACCGGAAACAGGTACGAGGCTGCCGGGCATAATACACCAGGACGTAGTACCCCATAAGCCGGACAGAAGAAGGTATATCCGACCGCAGGCGCATCCCCAACGTGCGAATGTTTGTATGCCTCCCAGCATACCGCTCCGAGGAGAGCATGTTCACCCACACTCTGACAACAGTACCAAACCCCCGAAGTAACGCCGGAGGAGGTCATCAGGGAATTCCAGGGGCGCACAATGGATACTGACATAAGTCAGGGCACCACTGCGGTCCGAAATCGCCACAGAGCCGGCATCGTCTGGCAACGGCAACGTACGCCCCCAGTACCGATGGAGGACGTCCCGGTACTCGTCCTCCCCCACAAACTTAATAACAACCTGATGTGTCGGAAAATCCGACACCATTTAATATCATACAGACAGATAATAGCTGTGTTGTATAAACAAGTTAACCCATAGAAAACGTAACTTGTAGTGGAATTACCGTCTATAGAAAACGGAATATCATTACCACACACTATTATATATTCACCACCTATTATGGTGGGAATTATTCTTAAATACATTAGTCTTTGGACTTTACCATCAGAAAAACATCTCTTATATATTAACTTAATTATCAATATTAAAGTAGAGTAAATGTGACCCTTCTATCACTTTCTGTCATCTGGACAATGTAAGCCAGGCGTCAGGAGTGAGGAAGGAGGGGCAGCCATTGTTGATACTAAGACCACAGAGGCTCACGGGAGCAAATACGGCTCCTGTTAATTTTACTTGGACGTAGTGTTATGGAAACCAAAGGTGTACCATCTTCAACACGCTGTCAACAAATTCAAGTTAAGTGTTCTTCCGAAACCCATTTATCTTTCATTTGTGGCCATTAATGTCTGGATATAGGGTGATCCGGTTAGAGCACGAGGTAGCCTCATACTAAAGGTAATTAAGCCAGGTCTTCATTGTTCCATGTACAGTGTTTTCTCTGATATAGCTTGTCATATATTAGGAACCTGGCTTCACAGTTAGCGCCCTTTTGACAGGTCAAGACGAGGAAGCAAGGCTTTGTGCATCAGTTACCAGGGTGATGGAAGCTACCTCAAAGAGGGAAAATGTGGTGTCTACATCCTGGTTATACCTGGTGGACTAAGGCCTGCTGTACAATAAGATAAGGAACCTCTTCAATGTATGTAGTCTAATACTGTAGTTTGATTAGCTGCATATATATAAATTAAATTAATAT